TACAAGAAAAAATATTATTTCATTGGATGATCAAAACAAAAGTTCAACAATTATTCATACTTTTCAGCAAAATAATAATTGTCACATTGAATAAATGTGAAGATGGTATGGAGATTTTGATTAATGTCAATAATAGCCATAAAGAGGAAATATTTTCTTTGTCCAGAAGCGTAGATATGAATAGGTACCATTAATTAAAAAATATAATAAACAATTAGTGTATTATATATCTTCTTGTTTATGAAGATATTAGGGAGATCTCAAAACCCTAACTAACGTATCTTCTTCTTTATCATCTTTCAATTAAAATACCAAAAAGAAGATCTCAAAATATATCCATTAGAGCATAATTAGTTCAATGGACAATAATTATCTTTGGGAGATCTTCACTAATAACAAACAAAATATTAGTGAAGATCATGTTGATCATCACCACCACCTACTTCAGATTCAGATTCCTAATTTCCAATTAAATGGATTTTCCCAACAAGATAATCAAGATCTCATAAAGGATCATGTTGGTTCGTCAGTTATTACGTCTCAATTCCAAACAAGTTGTGATCAGCTATATAAATCTTCAACCGTCAGCACAAATACTTCAATTATTACGCCTCAACTCCAAACAAGTAGTGATTGTTTATGTAAATCTTTATTCAGTACGAAAAGTACAATTACGCCTCAGTTCCAGACAAGTTGTGATCGGCTGTATAAATCTTCAGTCAACAGAAGTAGTACATCAATTATTACGCCTAATCAACTCCAGACAAGTTGTGATCGACTATATAAATCTTCAGTTAATACTGAAAGTACTAATCTTGATAGGACTAAGGAGGGGTTAAGAAGTCATGATGAATCAAATAAGCTCAAGAAAGTTGTGCATAGAAATATTGAAAGGCATAGAAGACAAGAAATGGCAAATCGTGTTACTTCTCTAAGATCTCTAATTCCCATTGAGTTCATCAAGGTGAGATAACTACTCCTTCCCTATTCACGTTTACTTATCCACTTTAGACTTTGACGTTACGTTCCTTAAGAAACAATGATTAATATAGGTATTTTATGATAAAATTCATATTAATTGATGTATACTCTTTGGTCTCGAGAAATGATTTGGGAATAGTTAATTAATATTAAGGTAAAAAAAAATGTTTTTACTTGATATGTTAAAGTGACAAGTAAAAGTTAAAATTTATTTTGGAATACTAGACATACTTTCATTTTCCTCTCCCCTTTTCCTTATAATATTTATTTTTTTGAAAAAAAATGTTGAATATATGATCATTGAGAAAAGAAAAAAAAAGGTTTCCAAGATTAAGTATATATATCAGCTTGTGTTATATATTAATTTTAGTTTCTCTATATGTCTTTCTTTCTATAATTGTGGAAGGGTTTTATTGAGGAAAAAATTAAAAGAACTTTTGCATTGATAATATAAATTTTTACATTATCAGTATAATTTAGCATGTTATTTATCATTTTTTATCAATGCTTACTACTAAAATTATTTGCAATTACCTTCTAAATGACTTGACTGTATAAATATTTTTTACCTTGTCCGTGCACAGACCATGAACATTTTTATTTTTAAATTATAATATGATGTGAATTTTTGTTGTAAATATAGGGTAAACGTTCAGCATCAGATCATATGCATGCAGCTGTGAATTATATAAAGTATCTTCAGAAGAATATACAAGA